ATATATACCTGACGGTGTACCAAGTCGCGATCCATCAAGGCATCTTCCAGCAGAGGAGTGACAGCATAAATGTAGTCTTTTCCCATCTCTCCGATATACTCAAACAAGAAAGAAAGGGACTTCAGAACACCATTCTGGACGTTCAGCTCGGGTACGCGATACCTGTGGCAGCAGGTGGTAGGCAATTACATTTCAGGACACAGTTAGGGGTCATGAAAGAAATGAACCATATTTTACGATAATGCTTTGCAACCAAGAGTTCGAACATGTTTCGCTCCAGCTAACTGCAAGCATCATGCAAGATGACTGCGGTCTTCCCCAGAATAGAGCATATGGTCATTATCGACACATTTGGGGCAACTTCAGTCCAGATGCAGCGATTATGCCCAGGCGGTCTATTCGGGTCAAGAAGGTAACTAATGTGATAAGATAATACACATGTCGTCAAGTCCTCTTCCTTTGTCCTCTTCCTTCGTGGATGTTGCAAAGACCTATTTCCTATTTTTTAATAAAGAGAGTCGAGGGCCCAAACAGGAGAAGAGGACCGAATGCCTGTCATAGGTTTCGTTCTACTCAGAGAATTTACGTCCTGGGTATTTCCACGCTGTTGTTTCTCCTCTTGCCGTTGTTAATCGACTTCCTCGGCAGAAGATAAGCGAGAAAACAGGTCTACTTGGTGAGACAAATGGATATGTTTTCAAATGAATATTGTTTCTTTTATGAACCAGCTGGAGGTGGCTGGATATCACGACCGGTATGGATCCAGTTTTTATAACACCTCCAAGGGTTGTAGTGGTTACAATACTTCGTTCCTGTGCAGGAGGGTGCCGGTTTGAGGCCATCTGTGTACGGCAGGGCATGATGCCCTTAACACACGTTGCTCATTAATCAGCCTGGGCAAGGATGGGATCCGTAGAGGGAGAAGGGTGAGGGGGGGGGGAGAAGGATAGGGATGGAGTTGTTAATGTGCCAAACTGATAAATATGGGTGGTAGGGTACAACAATAAACGGGACGGTGCGACAATAAAGGTTCCGGCCATGGCTAACACAGAGTCAAGAAGTGAGACACAGAGGGAGATACTACCACCTTCAACTGAATAGAACGCCTGGTCATTATTGCTATATCTGGACCAAAAGATGCCCCTAATACAGCTATAATGACTGGGAGTTCTATTTAGGTGACAATGGTATGTGTCTTGCCCACAGCTTTGGGGAAGGATGAGCGTTAGGCAGGAGACAGTAGAAGTACACCTTCTGGTGTACTTCTGGTAAAAATAATGGAAGTAAGTGAGAGCAGAGGTACTCAGTGAGAGGAATCAATACAGGTTTTGTGGTAGATAGAGCAAGGAAAAGACAGAGGGTGATCACAGCAGCCATCCATGCAGCAATCAACAGATGCGGTTGGTTCAGAAAATACAACATTGACAGGCAGGGAAGGGGGGAGATACAGCTGGTTGTCTTGCAGTCCTTGTCGGAGAAGGATAAGGGGCTGAGGAGATGGAAGGGTGTGGGAGGGAGAGATGAGAGTGAGCTTGGTTGCCATGCCAGCAGAGGCAGAGATGACAGGGTGGTGAAGTAGATGTAAATGGCTTGGGGTCAGAAGATGTATCAGGCTGATCAGTCGGTGGCAGGGAGAAATACCGCTGGCCGTTATTCATTCATTCCGCCGATTAGGCGAGGCTACGGTGCCTTTCTTTCTTTTTCTTTTCTGTTTTGTTTTTTTCTTTTCTCTAATCTAAGGCGCCTCTTTTTTAGGCACCTTTCTTAAGCAGAACTGGGCGCCTTGGCGAGGGCGGAGGTCATGCCCTGACGTAGGCCAGGGTTCAGGCGAGAACCGATAGCTGGTGGTGTGACAAAAAAAGATGGTTAGCAGGATGCCGTGCAGGACTAAGACTGAACCTAACAACAGTCCGTAGCTGGTGGTGTGACAAAAAAAGATGGTTAGCAGGATGTTGTACAGGACTAAGACTGAACCTAGCAACAGTCCGAACACAGAAATTCATAAGACGGAAGGGGAAGACCAGGAGAAACAAGCTAGAATGGTGCAACAGATCTGGATGTTTGGAACACCCGAACCCCATGTATCAGGTCCAGAGTCTGGTTCAGACTCTGCTTCAGAGGCTAGTTTGGAGTCTGGTTCAGAGTCTGGTTCAGAGTCTGGTTCAGAGTCTCGTTCCGAGTCTGGTTTGGAGTCTGGCACAGAGTCTGGTTCGGAGTCTGGTGCAGAGTCTGGATCGGAGTCTGGTTCAGAAGCTGGTTCAGAGTATGGTTTGGAGTCTAGTTTAGTGTCTGGTTCGGAGTCTGGTTCGGAGTCTGGTTCGGAGTCTGGTTCCGAGGCTGGTTCCAAGTCCGGTTCAGAGTCTAGTTCAGGGTCTGGTTAGGAATCTCGTAAGGAGCCTGGGTGGTCATAGCCGTGGTCTTGACCTCGGTTGCACAAGTGCAAGCATAGTGGGTTGGAACAGTGAAATCATAGTTCGCATGTCGGGTTTTTTATTTTAGGAGGTGCTTTTCAAGCTGTGAACAGAAATCTTTTCCGGACATTCCGGAAGGTCATCTCCAGATATGGCGATTCTTCTTTGACAACATCTCTGCTTGGCTTCAGGTTGTTGCTCACTACTACTTCCACAGTGATACAGCTTTTATCTCTTCTTCAGAAACCTTCGTTCGCCTTCGCCATTGCTACACAGGGGGATGCTCGATATGGGCTGTGGTAGGTATCGATCCTCTTCGTGATAAATCTCTCTTGGTGAAAGGATTGCTCTCCACCTCAATAAACTGGATCTTAGACGGAGAACAAGGAAGGGAGGGAGGCCAGGATTATTTCATGAATTCCATCATATGAGCAAGAAAGAGAACAAAATTAGCGCTTCATTTTCACGAATTGCATACTCAGACCAAGAAAAACAAACGTAGGGGGGCTTCCATCCGATAATTTGCAGGACTTACTCGTTCATAAGGGCAGGCAAGACTGTGAAAGGAGAGCATGTCTCAGCCACAATAGCAATTGCAACCGTTGTGCAAACACGATTCTGACGCTCCTGCACCTTGAGGTTATTCAGCAGTGTGGCCAGTACATCCTGTGGCCCGATAGCTTTCGCAATGTACCCAAATGTGTTCACCTGATTCACAGTAACAAACAGATTATCAGTTTCAGAAGCACCTTTTTTGTAGTTACGCCCACGTCAGCTTCTCAGTACCCAAAACAGATGTGCTACCATACTTCACTACACCTTGTTGTGTTCACTAGGAAATTCAATGCATTAACTCTGCCACTAACTCAACTACTGCGTAACTGCAAGTGTTAAACAACCTCATGGTGTAGGTTCAAATCCTATATTCCAGAAATTAAGCCACAATAATCACTTTCACCGCCTCATCCCGAGGTTGAACCTCAAAAGTCTGCACACGATTCATTTCACTGATGGATAAACGGCCAGAGTCAGCAATACCCTTGAAAAAAGCAATCGACTTCACTCACAACCACCCTACAATCCCAGCAGGCTGCGTGGTTCACACCCCTGACAATAACAGCAGTACCTAATGCCCATTACCTCTCAACCACAGGCGTCCGTCCCCTAACGTCCTAACTGGAGCCAAGGTTGCTCACAAGGTGCTGACCGCTTGTGCAATCGGTCGGGATACTGCCATCCGATTGGCAAAGTAAATTTTGAATCCAATCGTGTCCTGTTTGGTTGCCAGTTGAGGAAAAAACAAAGACTCACAACAGTAAATCACAAGCGGCTGGCCTTGACAGGAAGAAGGCATCAGATTAAACCACTAGTACCTCCGCCAGTGTTGGGAAAATAGGGAAAACTTGCAGTTTTCCCAAACTCCCGAGGACGGCTGCCATTGCTAAATCTGATCGGCAGCCGTCGTTTCGTTTTCGGCCTCCTAAAAGGTTGGACGCCCACCCGAGGCCCGCTATTTTCCCACTCAGCAAAGGTACTAGTGGTTTAACACCAAACTTGGAATGACGACAAAACCTGAGAACTGTATTAGCAAGATGCCAAACTTGAAATGACAACAAGATCTGATAACCATATAGCAAGATGTCAGGAGAGAGGGAGCGAGGCACAGACAGAGGACATGCTGGAACATCCATCGGGAACTTACGGTTGCTCGCCGGATTCCCTTCTTGTGGGCCTTCAGCATTTCAAGTAGCTCGAAACAAATTCGCATCCATTCTCGCGCAGGCACGAATTCCGCACCCCTGTCAGCAATTCGTCCGACAAGATCAATGCAGTTCTCCTGCACCTTTTCGTGCCTGTTCTTCAGGATAGGAGTGAGCCTTGGCAGTAGATCTTTGATTGGAGGTGTCATCTTTGTCATTCCAATAACGTTCACGATAGCCTTCAAGGCACCGAGAATCGATCCCAGCACCTCCGGATACTCTGCAAAAATTTCACCATATATTCACATCCCCCCATTTCACCAACTCATTAGTGTGCTGCAGGACATGTGCTAGTGCTACACCCATACAACAGTCGACCCACACAGAATTCTAAATTCTAGTCCACCCTGAGTCCATAATGCAAAGGACTTCCAACGAGACGAACAAATAAACCAGTAACAAGTTCCAACGAAACAAACAAAGAAAACGAACAACGCCTTCTCCCAAACACAATGAACCCCCTGCATCTTACAGGAAAGACATCGGGTATACATTCATAACTCACAATCAGTGTGTGTTCTGTCCAGGGGATGACACAGTGTCACAACAGAGCAACCTGGTTGCACAAGGACAAGAAGTGGTCATGCTGTCTCCATCTATCCTCCTTCGCTTTTTCTAAAGAAAAAGAAAATGTTTTATATCACAACATTGTGAACTACCCACAAGACACTCGAATAAACACAAAATTACAAATGGAAATGTCAGAGCTCTGTGATCTCAGGGGTACATTTCCCGTACCAAAGCTGATTTAGTTAACGTTTTTCCTTTTATTAAACATGGGATGGGATGAGCTCAGTGCTCTCAAGGGTACATCTTCCATAGCCAAGGTGATTTATTTGAATTTTGAACTTGAAAGGATGGAAAGTTCACAATCTTGGCATTTCCTCATATGTCCCCCAATAGAGCCAGGACCTGAAATGTCCAGACTCTGAAGCGTCAGCCTCCACGAAAAAACAACGTCATGCCAAAACACCATCTCTTTGTTCCCCATTCCTCCGCTCAGGCATCAGTGTATTTTCAAGTTGGAACTAATTTTCTTCAATCCCCATGTCCTAAATCTTGTACGTATAACGCCTCGCTATTTCCGGTGGTCAAACCGGTTTGGGTACCACCCTTAAACCACCACTACCTTCCAACCTGACCTGCCAAGCCTGTTTAGTCTACGCGCAATGCCGGTTTCTGGCAGTCTTGCAGAGAAAAATCCAGGCCTGCAAAGTCACTATACTCCCAGGTAGTGGTGGTTTAACATCGCAGTTTTATTTTCTTCAAAATAATGAACTAGGGGGAATTCGAAATATCATTTCATTCATTCAGATTGACATATTTCCTCCGCTAATTCGATTCATCACACAAAGATCAAGATATTGCAAACATATGTCAAAGCATTCATTCAGGTGTACACAAGGTCCCCTAACGGACAGGTTACAGCTTCTCAATTACTGTGAGAGGGGGGAAAGAAAGAGATAGAGACACGGAGAGAAATGGGGAGGAAGAGAGATACAGAGAGAAGGTGAAGGAGAGAGAGCTGGGTGTGGGGAAGTGGACAGGAAGAGAGTCAGATACAAGGACAGAGAGACAGATAAATTCAGAGAGACAGAAGCCAGGGGGGAGAGAGAGAGAGAGCTGTCTCTTATACACATCTAGATGTGTATAAGAGACAGCCCCTATACTCCTCCTATACTCCAACCCATACCTGCAGCGCATCGCGTGCGCGCGAGCTCCACACGTGTGGCGCATAGCACACACGCAAGCATGCGCACGCACGTGATGCGGCGCACCC